TAGTGCAACCCTCCTGAAAGTTGCTTAGTGCTGGTGAAAGTGATACAGACCCCCTCGGAACATGACAGGGGTGTCAGTTAACTAGTTGTAAGTTGATGTATAATCACAAAAGTTCTGAAAATATTTTATGAAGGTTGAAAAGTTAAATAATGTTGGTTTAAAGCCAAAAACTACCACCAAAATATTGCTGGATCACTTGGACCAAGAATCAAATTGCAGTCACTTGATGTCAGAATGCCTTTTAAATATAAATAAATTGATTCTTGGGATCTTAGAGTTGCGAGGGGAAATCTCTCTTGCAATATTTTTATAGCTTAATTTTGTCTGTTAAGGTTTCCCTGCATCTCTTCCTCAGATTGATTTTCAAACCTTGTAACCAAATAAATAAGACAACTAATATAGTAACAGTCATACATGTAAATAAGGTAAAGCACTGATGAATAGTTTGACCATAAAGTTAGATCAGACAGACTAAAATGTTAAACAATGTAAGAAATTCTGGTATTTTCCAAGCAAAGAAGTCATATTTAAAATGTGATATAGAAGAATAAATTAACAAAAAGTTTTTTTGTTTTTTTTACAACATAAACCTTTGAAAGCAAGTAGTGGAGATACCATCTATATCTGAGGAGGAGCACCACAGAGTTAGGTGTTTATTACTGGTGTGTGTGTACACCCTCTGAGTGAGAATAGACTTTAAAATACTTCTGTTAGTTTATAAATCTTTGAATGGCTTAGCACCTAAATACATCACAGACCTGCTATCCAGCCTGCTCTGCATACCTAGAACCAGAACTAAACATGGAGAAGCAGCATTTAGTTCCTATGCTCCACTTATCTGGAACAAACTTCCAGAAAACTGTAAAAGTGCGGAAAGCCTGAGTTCCTTTAAATCAAGACTAAAAACACATTTGTTTAGGATTGCCTTGGACTGTTCTAGTTAATCAGTTCAACTGAAACATCATTAGTTCAGCTTTTTTTATTTTCTTTAGTCCAACTGTTTTTAATATTCTTTTTTTGTTTCTGCATTTTTTATTTTATTCTTTTTTCCTTCTTGCTTTGATCTTGTTTTATGTTCCTACATTAAATTGTGCTATACAATTAAATTTGCCTTGCCTTGCAGGCAGAGTGGCCAAAAACATGTTAGCCTACTTTAGTTATTAACCAAGTTTTTATTTTTTAATAGATACTAAAAGTAAAGTATCTGGTTAACAGCCACTTCCGGTGTGTACAGTATGAGATGTAGATCAGCTGCAGCTGTGCAGCATCTCCCAGGTGAGTCTCATTAAGCTGATGATCAGCAGCTCTCCATTGGATCATCTGGAAGTTCTTGTCCTCCTGTCCCTCAGTGATGGTGGACAGTTGAGAAGGTAAACCTTGTCCATAGTTCTGCTGTCTCTTTCCACTCCCTCTGCGTCTGAAGCTCCAACTTCTCGCTCAGTTCTCCTGCGCGTAAAACCTTTGGGGAGCCCTGTCGGCTGGTCTCCTCCTCCTCGCTCCGCGCGTAATTCTCTGGAAGCGCTTTGCAAACTTGTGAAGAAATCTCACTTTATTTCTGGCACCTGTTGCTGAAAGCGCAGAGCTGGACTTTATCCCTCCGGGACAACTATGGACTGACCCAGACCAGTGTCCAAGGATCGCTTCAGCAGCAGCTGCAGCTTGGACACCCCCACCACCTCCACCCTGCACCGCCTCATAAAAACGGCCGCTTTTGTGACCAAGAGGAGGACTTTAGACACCGAGGAGTGAAATGAAAGCAGGAAGGAAGGGTTTCAGAAAGTGACACTGGAAGGAATCTGTGCGCATCTAGTTAAAAGAGATAAATAAATAAAGAGGAGCTGGAGCAGCCTGGAAAAAACAGCAGTGAGTGAAGTTTGCAACCGGACAGAAAGACTCCAACACTTCGGATGGTGGAAGGAGAAAGTTTTCCTGCGCAGCTGAGCTGAAGTTTTTCCTCTAGAGAAGATACGGTAGGAAGAAACTGATTAGATAGTTTACTTTCTCTAACTCATTTCACTCTTTTCTGAACTTTTTTAGAAGTTTTCTGTAAGGAAGCTTTGGATGGTCAGGTACAGCAGGGTGGCTCTCCACCCAGGGCATCATTCTTTTAAAGGGTGGAACATGGAGCCAAAAAAAAAAGTGATCACTGCTGTACTTTCGATCAAGTTTTTGGATGTTTAAATTCCCAGTTTGTATAAATGTAAACCCAATACTGAAACTGGAACCATGAGCTATTCTAGCTGACAGAATAAATAAGTTAGTACCAGCTATCATGGACAAGCATTTATTTACTTATTTATTGTAGATGTATTGCTGCTGTAACTTTTTTTTTCTACATTTAAAAAATGTTAAATATTGTCTTGACTGACTAAAATTTAACAAGATTCCATTCTGTGTTTATTCCAGTGAGTTTAAAATAAAGTTTGATGTTCAAAGTGTATAACTGGACATTTTTAAGTTTAAAATGGTTTTCTTTCAATTAATATATTTTAAATCCTAGTCTATTACAGCTCTTGATTATCTTCCGTCTTTTGCCAACATCAGTTGCTTAGCCACTATTTTTCACGTTTTTTTTGTCATTTTAAAAAAATGTCTGAGACTTTTAGAGTTTTTAACCCTTTTTTTATGAAGAACAATAATTTGTCTTCCCTAAAATTCTTTTTTTTTTTTTTTTTTTTTTTTTTTTTTTTTTTTTTTTTTTTTAAGCTGACCAAATCCTAACTTGCCTACTAAAGAAAACGTGGCAGATTTTAGCCATATTTACATGAATGAAAAGTAGCCGAAGCATAAAGCTGCAGCTGCTTCTGTTCATCTTCAGCTGTCATTTACAGCTGATTTGTTGTTTGCAGCCTAAATCAATTTTTCAGAAATTTGTAGTTGCTTTAATTTTATATGGCTGAAGTTAGGAACTTGCATATTAGTGAAATCAGGAGGATGCCCTGGTGGAGAGTTTAAAAAAAAAAGAAAAAAAAAGTATTTTAATTTGCTGACTAGTAAGTTTGACGACAATGTGGGGGAAAATTGTTAAAGTTGTGTTTTCCTAAATTCATAAAACAGGACATGTATGTTAGACCACTGTCCCTTGGAGCCCTATTTGGTGGCTCCACTGCCTTAGAGTTCATCAAGTTAAACTCTGTAGGAGTTTTTTTTTTTTTTGTAAATGATGGGTTTGAACTTGAGCAATGACTCTGAGTTATTCAACATGTTGTCAAGGTGAAAAAGGTTTAGACTTTATTTTATCTAAACTTAAAGAATTTATGTCGGACCCTAATGTTTTCATTGTCACGGTCTCATTCCATATGACTTTGGCTACCCTTGACAGTGGTGAAAGGCAGCCTATCTGTCTCTGTGTGTGTTTGTGTGTGTTTGCCAACCCCATCGACCTAAATGAAGGCAGCTCTCCCGCTCTGCGGTGCAGACCAGGACTATTTTGGTCGAAATCTTGCACAAATGTTTCTCTCAGTATAGAGAAATTGCTCTGCATTCATCTGGGCCGTGCAGGGGCTTGTTTGAAATCCAAGTCTGACTAACTGCAGCTCTGAGGGAACTCTGGACCAAGTTCACCATTCTGACAGCCATCATAAAACACACAAGTGTCTGCAGTGACTCACTCTGTGTGAAAAGCTTTCATATAACAAATGATATAACACGCTGATTTACTGCTTTGCATATGCATTTGTAATTTAGAAATATACATACTTTTGGCGCTGCAGATAAGCAGAGACACTGAACATGCATGGAAACTAGACTGAAGCATCGATTATTATACAGCTTTTAAGATTTATTACTAAAGCAGACTTTTGCTAACGGTGTAAAGAGCTGTCTTTAAAGAGGGCAATTTTTATCTATTGAAATATGGCAACTTTATATTTTGCCAACTTTTATGTTTTTCTTTTAAAGTAGAAAATGGTCTAAATAAAAATATTAAATGAGATAAAGAGAGGCCGAACACATCGAGCTTGATTTAAATTGAGCATAAAGGCCTAAAATGATAAACAAAGGCACATTAACTAAAAGCTAAAATATAAAACTCTATAAAAGGCTTTGAGACCTATATAAAAATTAGGATTTAATATTTTTTTGGTTAAAAGAATACATTTAATGCCAAAAAATGGAGCAACATTGAGAGAAATTATGTAAATCTAATAAAAAGAAAATCTCCACCACAGGAAAACAAAAGATGCAAAACAACCAGAAAGAACATACTGATATAAGAAGATAAAATGTTATGATTGCCAGAAAGAATGAAAAGTTTTCCTACCAAAAGACAATTTATTCATTATAAATATTGAGGAACTCCAAACTTTCCTAATGCCTAAAGAAAAGCAGCTGGATCTGCTTTGATCATAGTTTGACTTTTTTGGATATCCTGCTCTATTGTTGGAGGCCTTCTACATATTTGTGCCATGAAGAGCTTTTTAACCCATAATCCAACCATGTACTAAAATGCAATGTTGCTCCTTTTGGCTTCCTTATTTACAAACATGAAAACTCACAAGTTAAATCCTCTCATCTTAAGTAATTTTAAGTAGCCATACAACATTTAGGAAAAATATAATCAAAGGCCATAATACTTTCTCTCACCCTTTTGGAAAAGTGTTGACTACTTTAGCTTCATTCTCAAGTTTTTATGGTCAGTATAAATTTTTTCCCCCCCAAATGCTCACTTTAATTTAAACAAAAACCGCTCTTAAACATAAGAAGCTGGTCATAAAAGTCTGTGTGATTGAATTTATTTTGATTGGTAAAATAGCCCTCTATATGTCTGCAGAGGAGGAACAAATACATTTTATTGACTGGAAGTCATTCAAAAGTTTTATTTAATATGCTGTGAATCACTGAGACAGATTTATGAGAGATGCAGCAGAAGAAGTTACTTTTTCTTTTCCATCTGCTGAAGCTTGTAAACCCATATCGTCCGATTTGTTTTCAGCATGCGTCGGCTGCATGGGAGCAGAGAGGAAGCTCTGACGGTGACGTCTCCGGTTCGCTTGGTGGTTTTCATGGTTTCAGAGTCTGATATCTTCATAAATCCCTAAGGCAGCTGACAACAGGGCTGATAAACCCTGCAAGGAGGAGAGGAAGTGTACGTCTCTGGGTGTGCTGTGAGCTGGGGCCCACGGTAACATTAGATGTGTAGATGGGGGTGGCGAAAAGTGTTGCAGTCAACAAGTCAGCCATTAGAGAGAGATAATCTCTCGTCAGACTGCATCCAAGCCAACTTCTTCTCCTTCTCCTCCCTCCTTTTATGGTATGTTTTTATTTATGCCTTTTGGGATTGAGTCTCTTTTTGCATAGTTAAAGATGAATGCATTTGTCTCATGGTCGAGGCCATAAAACCTCTGGGTCTGACTTCCAACCTTGACTTCCTTTCCTTGATTTCATCACCAAGGGACTCTGTAATTAAGGAATGTCAGCGAGTCTCCTTCTCCAGATATTTTGTCTCAGACACACATGGATGCTCAAGGTTATTCAGAAGTGCATTAGAAGGTATTGTCATATTTTGTTTTATTTTTACATAAAAATCCTCCATCAGCATGGAGACATGTCTGGTATGTGAGTGTGTGTTGGTTCCTCTTGGCTTTAATGATCAGGTTGGACTCCCAGATGGTGGTCTGAGTGAAGAGGATGGCCTCTTCAGATGAAGAGCGGGTATTTAAAACACTTTTATCTGATTGGCTGAGTGGCATCCTGGGAACTTCTCCCAGTGCAGGATGTGAGTGCTTATCCACTGTGGATAATGATTACTTGGCAGAGAGATATTCTGCATGCTTTATGGTGACTGCATGTTGTTGAGATAAAGGCCTTCAGATTGTTTTTTTTTTTTTTTTTTTTTCTTTCTTAGATACAGGTTTAGTCCGTAAATCCTGATAAAACAATCTGTAGTTGTCTTTCTGCCCCTTGTTTTTCCTTGTCGCATAGATTTCCATTCATGATCCTTACCATCTTTTGAATTTTATTATTGCAAAAGTGGTAATATTTTGTTTTTTCCCCACTATATTCTGGTTTTGAGATTGACTAATAAAGGAGTGCATATTTTAGAAGTTGATGAACATGGATGCATGGTTGTTTTTTGTTTTTTTTCTCATACAAAGCTGCAAATGATGGCAGAAAACCTTCAAAAATCTAACATGCATACTTTTGGTCTAGCACAGAAACATTCGAATAAACTAAATTGAAGTTTTAATATAAAACCTTGATCTGTTCTAACCACCAAATATGCTGCATATTCACATTACTCAAAAATGACTCAAATTAAAAAGAAAACAAAGTCTTAAAATTTAGAATTGAGACATGTTTAGATCCATGAAAGGAAGGATTGGATGATCCGCAGACTGGGGAATGCCTAATGACCTAGACTCCAAAGTCTTATTCTTTGTAATTTCTTTAATAGAAATGTGCTGCATTCTCCTGGAAGGATGAACTGCCTGGTTTTCTATGTTTTGTCAGGTGAGACATGAAGTCCAATTTAAGCAGAGTGGAGTGGCGGCCTAGGCGTTGGGAATAGAGCTTGGAATCCAGAGGTTCTGAGTTTAAGCCCAACTCCCAGAGACTACCACTCTGGGTCTCTGACCCTTAACCCCACACTGCTCCCCAAGGGGATGGGTTAAATGCAGAGATGAATTTCTACAATGTGAGATCAATAAAGTTGAATTATTATTAAGAACTCTAAAAGAAAAATAAATTGCAAAATCCAGTATCAGGATAAAACATGTACCATTGTTTTAGGGCATCTAAAGCTCTATATCAAATTTATATTTATTTTAAATTTAAGTTTTTCCCCCCTACAAACAAATCTAATAAAGATTAAAGCCAAACTATAGCATCAGCTGTATTCCACCTCTGATGGTCCGACTCTGAATAAATGGACTTCTCTGTATCATACCACAGTTTCATTTCTATAAAGATCTCACCTCTGGCTGTAGTTTAACAGAGCAGAAGTAAAATAGTTTTATTGACACAAGATCTAGGTGTTTTTGCAGATAGCAATTGTTTTTTGCTCTCCTCTATCTTAGAATCATTAAAATATCTCCTCCGCTTTGTGCCGGGACATAAAATTAGCTGGTGACTCAACTCAGGAACATTAGTTTGGTCTGAGGCTGCTTGGAGTCTCTGTGTGCTGACAGTACACTGTGGTCATCATTATGGTCCACTCGGTGTATTTCTGCATGTCTCTTCATGCTCCGATTCTGCTTGACCACCAGGCATGTGCTTGTCTGTGGGTGTGTGTGTTGACGTGTTGGACTAGTGGCGGCAGCGGTTAGTAGCTATATCCTACCAGCTTCCTGGGCTAATAGTAAAAACGGTTTATTGGACACTTTATAAGCCCTGAAACCGTTTTATAAATCCGTTGGTTGTTGTGGGGGGGTGCAGTCACAGACCGATGAGCCACAAGCAGGCCAGTATGAAAACAGCTGCGCCCCTGACTGCAAGGAGGAGGAGAAAATGCTGCTTCTCACTGCTGATGTTTTCATTGAATTGCATCTCCATGGCTGGGAAACTTTTTGGAATTTAAACAGAGTGACAGGCAGCACTAACTGGGCCAGTTACAGTAAATCTACCATCTAAACATCTCATAACAGAGAAAGCCTTTCTCTGCTGTTGCAGCCCCTTACTTTCACTCATTTTCCTGTCTGCAGCCCTGATGCAGAGCTGATAAAACTCTCAACAGCACACCTGCCGCAGGGTTAAATGTCATGTGTGGAGACGGCATGGCCTGTTGATTAATACAGACATTATTTCCTCCTATAAGCTTTCAATGTTAATCTTGGAAAACTGTCTAAAGTATTTTGGTCGAGCTTTATCAGTCGGATGTGTTGAAAGTAGTTTTAAAATTGCATTTAAAAAAAGTTAAACTTAAATATTTGGGGTGAATACTAGGGCTGAAACTGATAGGGATTAATCGATTATTGAAATAATCGTCAATTTAGTAATCAATTATGTATAGACTGTAAAACATGCCTTTAGGTGACAGAGAAACCCACTTAGAGCAGTAATTATACCAAAATTGTAAAAATAAAATAAAGATGTTGCATTTAAGATAAAAAAAAAAAAAAAAAAAAAACTTTTAAAATGCTGCATCCAGAACTCCTCAAGTGGAAAAGTTTTAGTTTCCCCCAGTTTACTTTTGTAAAAAGTTGCTTTTGGCCATCTGATTACAGTATTAATTGAAAAAATAATCGCCTGATTAATCGATTTGCAAAATAATAGTTTGTTGCAGCCCTAGTTGATACACAATGTTTTCCAAGCCTAGTTTACTTCACTGAATTTATAAGGATTATTTAGTCAGGCTCCGTGTGCTCACTGTATCAATGTGACTTTGGCTCTGCTGGGGTCAGAAGCACGATGTTCTCTTAAACATTCTGGTAGACGTCTGTGTTAACTCAGAACAACAGAAGATGACCTGGCAGCACAAACGGTCACTGAATGGAAATTAAGGCCGTCCATAGCCTTGATGATTGTGCATCCTTTTATCGCTGTAGGTTCTTCCTTCCACTCAGCATTCACTTACATGCATGGGTGCAACTTTTTGAACGGTCTGCTTCTTCAGCAATAACCTTATATAGCTAACCTTTACTAATCAAACCAACAGAAATGTATTTAAACATTTACTATGTAGTTGGAAAATTTACTGGAAGTTCTGACTTAACATGATTTTAAGCAGTAGTCAACAGAATTCATACAGTTCATACAGAATTCTCACACAACCTGCTTATTTTAGTTAAGTATTTATTAATTTGTTTTTGGCTAATATCCTCTATGGTCTATGGGTTGATTTAGTCTGGCTGCTCACCTTTCAGACATGTTGATCTTTGGCACTGCAGGCCCACTGATACAGCTACAGATAATTACCGTGCGAGTACATTTGTAGATCAGAAGCCAACAGGACTCGTACCCGGCTTCTAGGCTGGTATGTTTACAGGAAACTAAAATGCAGCCATTGGTGAATCTGTTCAGTCTCTTTAGTTTGTATCATCTGGAATAAAAGAAAGTTAAAAAAAAAAAAATAATAAAAAAAAAAATAGAAAAAAAGGGTAAAAGGAGAGGCATGGTGGTCAGTCAGATGAGAGGAAACGCTGCCTCTTACTGGTCACTCTTTGCTACTACAATAGATCAAAAGCAGTTATTTACCTGTTTTTGCTGCCATGGAGCAGGACGTCAATAGAACATGTATTTCATTTGCTAAATATCTCTAAGGTGAGCCTCATTATCACTTCATGCTGGGGGGGTGTAGTCTCATGGTACCTTTCAGACACAATTGCACAAAGACATTTTTATTTTTTTGTTTCTCCTCTGGTTTGTGGTTTACTACAATGCCTTTAAAGTTTCCATACTCTTGTCTTTGCATAATCCAACCTCAAACTTTAATGGATTTTGTTTAAATTTTTTTCTTTGATGCCACAGAAAAGGTGGCGCCGACTTGTAAAGTGGAAGGGCCATTTGAATTTGGCCCATTCTAAGCTCAGCCAATGATTTATGAACATTGGTTATTATAAGACCTGTCTGTTTTAATATTGCATATTGCTTTAAATTTGATTTATATCAGAAGTTTCTTAGTTTCGTCTGAATAAAACATCTCAAAAGCATGACGCTGCCACCACTGTGTTTTGGGTCTCATCTCAGCAAAGCATCTTCTACATTTGCCTGTAACTGTTAGTTTGTTTCACAGGTTTAAAGAGTGAGTTCCAAAGATTTTGTCTTTTTAATTACAAAAACTTAGTATTTTGCCTACACTTAATTATATTGTAGGTCAGGTATTAAAATCACAGTGAAGACATCTAGCTCCTTTAAGGGGTTTGACTAATCACTCCTATCCTCTCTCCCTTTACTCGTGTGTTGTACTTTTAATATAATGAGATTCACAGCACCCAGGTGCTCTTTCTAGATAATTACTGAGTGTTTTTTTGTTTTGTAGCGAGTCTTGGAACCAAAGCAATACCCAATCTGTCAACACACATACTGTGCTGAGTGGGAAAGGGGAAGAGAGAGGATCAAATTAAAATTTATTTGCTCTATCTTGTTTCTGAGCCCCTCCCTCTCTCTCATCCTTTGAATGTTCAATCCGTCATGCTGTTCTCCGTCCGGCTTGCTCTCACCTTTTTATTTCCTCAGTGTTCCTCCTTTTCTTTTTGATTTCCTCCCCAGTCTTTCTGTCCGCCATGAATCCCACGGCTGCTTTTTGAGCCCAGTATAAAGGAACAACACAACATTAGTCAGTCGTCTGGCAGGAAAACATCAGAAGTAGCAGACATTGATTTACACACAAACAGGCACACACATGCACATATTTTCTCTCCCAGAGAACATCCATCAGTGATTGGCTGAACTGATTTATTAGAAAGCACAGCTAAGGGTGTCTGTAAAGTGGACGGAGAGGAGCAGAGTTCTGCATTACTTTAACGGGGAGAGCAGACGCTATGCCAGCTTAGCTTTTTAGATAACAAGAAGGCAGTCTGTTACCTCAGTTTGCCCAGTTTCCTTTGGCTTTATGACTCTAGGCTGCAGTAACCAGCAGCCTTGGGGATGGACTGCAGATGATTAAGGAGATGATGCCCTAATGTGAAGTCTGGAATCCTTGCATAAGAAAATCTCATAAATCACATTACAGAATAAAAAATGCAATAAGATCGGACTGCAAAACTATATGAATCGGCATAGTTTCTGTTCTCCTGCACATTTTAATGTGTAGTTTGTTACCCCAGCAGAGCCAGTCATTGGATGTTTGTGTACCTCTTCATGGTGTTTAGTTATGTTTT